CTTAGTTTTAAGCTAAGAATCCTATAAATAGGTTTCAGCCCTTCAATAAAGAGATAGATTCATTCCTTACAAACTTGGCTAGATTAGCTACATCAGATTTGGTATCAGAGCTCCTCGTTTTTGGGCAATCAATGGYGGGCAARAAACCAACCACCACGGATTCTTCCCTGGCCAACAAAGAAGCGGATCAAGTGTCCGTTCTCTCACCACGATCATCAACCCTACGCTTGCAGTTGGTTGAAGGGGATGTGAAGACCATCCAACGGGAAGTGAGTGAGATTAAACAAATTTTAGAAGGAATGCACGGCCATCTGRAAAGGCTGAGYATTCARCAAAACCMAGCAAGAAYGGTTCAAGAAACAAGAAGAACAGATCATCAAGGTGATTACTATCAAGAACAACAACGGGCGCAGCCAAGAAGACACCAAGAAAATGTTCTTGATCCAAGAATGCTCCAAGAACARAGGGCTGCCCGACAAGATTTAAACCAAAATCCCCTGTTTCAACGCATGGATGATARTTTCCTCSATTCTTCTAGTGGGGAAGAGRATATGCCGGAGCTGGAAGAAGGTCCTARGGGACGTARAGGTAATCAAAGACYGTACCAAGAACCARAYGAATACAAGATGAAGATTGATCTTCCAACTTTCAGCGGGAAGATGGAGATCGAAGGATTTCTTGACTGGGTAAAGAATATAGAGAATTTTTTTAGCTATATGGGAACACCTGATCATAAAAAGGTTCAATTAGTGGCGTTTAAATTGAAGGGAGGCGCCTCTGCTTGGTGGGATCAGTTGGAGGTTAATCGGCGTCGGTATKGGAAGCGACCGATTCGTACATGGGAGAAAATGAAGAAACTGATGYGTGAAAGATTTCTTCCTATTAACTATGAWCAGATTTTGTACAATCAGTACCACAATTGTAAACAAGGTAMACGTTCWATKGTGGATTACGCTGAGGAATTTCACARGTTAGGTGCTCGCACAAATCTTGGGGAAAATMARCARTATTTAGTGGCCCGTTTCATTGGAGGCTTGCGAACGGACATCAAAGAACAGCTGGCTCTCCAGCCTATTGGATTCCTCAATGAGGCAATTTCCACAGCAACAACGGCGGAAGAACAAATCAATAACAAGTACAAGAAGCAATATACACAATGCAATACATAGTAGCCTTTAAGTTCTGTTATTAGCTTTTGTTTTAAAGCTTATGTTTAATAGGCTTTAGGTTATGTTTGGTGGGCTTTTAAGTTTTACCCGTGGTAACTTTGTTTACCCTTACTTAGTTTTAAGCTAAGAATCCTATAAATAGGTTTCAGCCCTTCAATAAAGAGATAGATTCATTCCTTACAAACTTGGCTAGATTAGCTACATCATGCACTGCGAGAAAAACCTTGCAAATGCAAAGGCACAGTGGGGCAAATTCATCTTTCTTAATAAAGAGACTAGATGTAGTTTATATATACACACACATACATATACATACACGCACATAAATGATAAATATTTCTTCAATCAAATTAAATAAATTAAGAGAGTGGAGAAGAGCCTCAACTCTAACAAAGAGAATTTACAAAAATAATGAGTTACAATTGGTGGAGAAAGTAGTAAGGTTATATAGTTAAAAGAAACAATTTCTTGATGGTATGGAAACTATTCCAACTGGACATCATGGTAGAAAAGCTATAATGGCGAAAATAGGGATAACATACACACCAAGATATTGCCAGAAAAACAATAGTTCAAAAAACCGGTCAAAAGATTGATCCCTTTTTTTTTTATAAGAAACAACAAGCTTCATTCAAAAGAGGTAACAAAGGAGCAACAACCTAAGGGCGGGGGGCCGAGAAGGCCCCCCCTAACAGGCTAATACATTACAGCTTTCCAATCACGAGAGAGTAAGGCTATATTGTAATTACAAAAGAATCTCCTATTAGTAAGACACCAAGAGGCCGTTGTAATTTGTACATTTTCACGAAAATTATCAAAAGGGATGGACTTGTTGTTGAAAACTCTTTGATCCCTTTCCTTCCAAATACTCCATATTAGCGCTCGACTAGCACAACTCCAAAGAAACTTCGCTTGTCAAAGGATTGATCCTTTCCTTTGGATATGCAATGGTTTCTCGATTTTCAAGTGATCCATAAAAAAGCTCAGATAAAATTCAACCAGAGAAGCTTCTTTTCCTTTTTGAAAGGATGACCCACAAGAGTGGACTCCAATAGGAGGGGGGGATCTATTGGTAACGATGTAGTCCATCCAAAGGTCGATAAAATAGATCCCCAAAAGCGAGAGTCGAGGCTGCATGAAACAAAAAGATGCTGCTGGGTCTCCCGATTGTCTTTGCACAAAAAGCACCATTGAGGGGAGATGGATAAATAGGGCACTCGTCTTTGAAGCTTATCATTAGTGCTGATAGCCTTATGGCTTAATTCACATATGAAAATTTTAACCTTTTTGGGATAAGGGTCCGTCCAAATGGCTTCATAAATAAGAGTCTTCCGGTCTGAAGTAGATTGGGTGAGGTCGATAACAAGAAATTTTAGCAATTAGCAATCACAAAAATAAGTTGATTCTACACCAGGCAGCTAAACTGATGTCCCTACTAGTTAAGGTGGACTATCCCTTTTCTTTTTTAACAAGATACGAACTTTTCATTGGTAGATGAAAAGGAACAGAAAAAGATACAAACTCCATGAGGAGTAAAAAAGAGAAATAAAAGAAGACGAATAACAAGATAACATAATCGAAGACAAAGTAAAGTTAACTAGGAGTTATAAATGCCTCTCAATTCATACAAATCATACTAGGTGAGTAGTTAGAGAATAAGTTGGAAAGAGCACACCGTTGTGAGGCTTTGAACTTGACAATGTTGAAACAATCCAAATGCAATCTTATTTTTCCTTCAAAAACCCTTTGGTTTTTTCAAACCATAATTCTAAAATGAGAGCTTTGATGCCATTTACCCAAAGACGTTTAGCTTTGGGATTGAGCTCGACTCCACTAAGCAATTGCTGGATGTTGGAAGGAACCTAATTGTCCCAAGCCCATAACAACCGAACGAGCTGGAGGAATTTAATCCAACAAGAAGTGGCAAAGCTGAACATGACAAACAAATTGAGGGTTGTAGGGACATTGAAGCCAATTTATTTTAAAGAATCTCCTAAGTGTTAACTTTACTATAGATAAGGACCCATAATAGGAAGTTAACCCTCTTTGAACTACATGAACTCCAAAGTAGAGAACAAAAATCTTTGGGTAAAGACGAACAGGTGGACCGCCCATAGCCTCGTCCCAGCCCTTGAGCAAATCCATTCGCCGCGAACGGTTTCAGTCCGTCGCAGCCCGTAGCCTTGTCGCCAGTAAAGCAGGTATGCCCGTAGCCCCATCGTCATCGTGAGCAGAGCTGCAACCCAACCTGAAGATTTTGGGTTGGGTTAGGTTGGCCCTCGAATTTGAGTCTGTTGGTTCCTATATATGGCCAACCCAAAAATTCGAGATGGTCCAAAAAACCTCCTAACCCGACCCAACCCAATCCGTGAACACCCCTAATTAGGAACCTCATTTTGTTGATTAGTCTCAAGAACCTAAGTCCTTTTGTAAGATTTCTTTTTTCAAAAATAAAAATCTTCCATAAGTCAAATTTGGAAGCTCGACCATCTTCGTTTACTTAGCTTTGAGAAGAAATTTAATGAAATGAGAGGTGTAAATGGATCTCCATCATGGATCTTATCAACAATACTTGCCTTCAACATATGCAACATTTTCACGACAAACGACTCTTGCTCAAGAACAATACAGGTTCAATTACAAGTCTATTTGGAGAAATATTTCAACAAATTCTTAAGTTCTTGATCATTTCATTTGCAATTGGATTTGGAAGGAGTTTTAGTCTTACTAAAATAAAGTCAAGATCTTCATTTTAGTTCTTCCCTTAAATAGCACTAACACTCGCAATAAAGTTCAACCAATGTTTTAAAAGGCTAAAGACAGTCTCGAGGTTTTTCCTCTCGAAGAGGCGAGGCGTAAGCCTTGAGGCGATATGAGGTGCAAGCCTCAATTTTTAATTAAAAAAATTATACAAATCTAAAATTTGTATGATCAAGTATTGCTAAACACCAAAGTTATTTAAAAGTATAAAAAAATTCACCTATTAATTGCCACTTAAATAAAAATCCTAGATAAACATCCTCAATATCACTACAATTATCACTATTCACTAATAGGATTCACTTATTCTATAAAATTTATCCCCAATGTTTTTAAAGTCTAGGTAGTAAAAGTAGTAATAGATTGAATTGTTATTGTTAGAGTATAGATATATATAGACTTTAATAATGAGAATAGAACATTGGATTCTCTCCAACCTTAGTCTCTACAGTTATCACTTCTACAATTCATTCCATGCACAAAGAAACCTTTATATTATTTAAGAATTGGGCAAATTAATAATATTATTCTAATCATTACATGAGGCATAAAGACTTTAAGCCTCAGTGTGTCTTCAAAGAGGCGTAAGCCTCTTATGATTCAAAGAAGGCGTAAGTGAGGCTAAAAATTAGAGCCTTGCCTCGAGGCGAGCCTCAAAAGCCTTTTAAAACATTGAGTTCAACAAAGCAATCCCAACCCATGATTATCTCCCTATGTTGGCGTACAAGATTATCCAAAAACAGCAAACAATCTCAGGATCACTTTTTTGTCCTTGGTTCGATGGCTTCTCAATATTGTACCACCCTTTCCATCTATTTGGTTGGAATAAAGTTCTTCCAACTAATAACATTAACCTTCTCCACACTTACTTCGATGATCACCCTTCCAAGCTTAAGCCAAACTTCTTGGTACATTTGGTTAGAAGGAAAAAATTAGAATCTTCCACAGAGAGGAATAAGCTGGTCAAGTCTATATTGTCAAATCTTCCAGGGAGCCTATTTCTATATTGCCAAATCTTCCGGATCAAACTTTAGCCCATAGAACACTTGGATTGAGAGAACAACCAAGAAATTTATGACCAGTAGCTTTTGAATATATTTTATTTTAATTTTTCAATGAGAAGTCTGATTCTTGTAAGAATATATATATATATAGGGAGAGAGAGAGAGAGTTTAAAGAAACTTAGGAAAGTTGTTTTCATATCCTTGCTAACATAGACCATACTTTCACCTTTAGCATTTGTCACTCCTAAGTAAGATTAACTCGTACTCTTTTTTCTTTTTTGATTCGAAACATCAGTATGCATGCCAAAAACAAACATCCTATGCCCAGGGAAAGAGAACCACCACCCAAAAAGAGCTATACAATACCGTCCAATCATTAATGATCATGAGGAGGCTTTAATTACAAAAGAATTTCTTGTGATTTGTACACTAATAGGTAGTATATTAAACACTACTCCAAAAGAAACCTATTGTAGACAATCTAACCCTTCCTAACTCTCAAAAAGCAATTTCAACCTGCACTGTTTCCTTCAAAAAGTCCTTCCTCACAAGTGATTTCTTGGAGCTGGACATTTTTTAAAAGTAATGAGGGATTCATTTTAAAAAATGGTGAAAGTCACCAAAGAACAGCCTAAGGACAAAGGGACAAGTTGTCACCTTTCCAAAAGAAGGGATTAAAGAAATGCCCTCCAATCTATGTTAGTGATGAAAGTAGTGTAGTAACAAAAATGCTTGTGTTGGGCACTCTGATTTGTGCGGAAACTGTAAGGTGACTAAATAATTCTAAAGAATTTGACTTATCTGTAAACATTCTAGCAGTTCTTTCCTTCACTAAAGGAAAGCTTTATCGACATTTGTCCAAAGGATTTTGCCTTTGTCCTTGGATCACCATCTAGACCTCAGGATTCTAGACTCCCATTAATTTCGAACCACACCAGGCCAAACCAAAATGTTTGCAACTTAAGTTCCAAGCATGGGTGGAAAACTTCAATAGGTAAATTAATCGGGGTGGATTCATCACTTTGCCCACATATAACACATTTCAGGAAGAAATTGAACGTGTGGGTTCCTCCTTAAACCTTATCTAAAGTATTATTAATGTTGTTGAGAGCTTGGAACAATTGGAAAACTTTAGTCATTTTATGGCAATTGCCACCGAAAATCAAGCTGCAAGGGGCTTTGTCTACGCTACTGCTACCCTCGTGGAGAGCCAAGGTGGAAGATTTGACTGAAAAATGGCTCTTTTATCGAGCTCTCATAACAGATCATCGTTGCACTGCCTCAAACTAACACTTCCTTATTAGTTCATCAATCGTAGGAACCATATTACAGAAAATGACACCAATTTCTTACTTATTCCATGATTTCAAAAAGGCCCCTAGGGAGCTTGATCAAATAATCATGAACCAGCCAACCTTGAAGTTCTGCTTTGTTCCATTTGAACTCCACGAAGAAGGTAGTTCTAGCCACATATTTCCAATTTTGAAATCTAGGGGTCCTAATTTGAAATCACCACCCTAAATGGATCCTCGTCGGAAGCAACTAGTTTGCGTAGCCTGTAGTTTTTAAACTTAGACAGCCAACCCGGGAGGCAAGGATTTTTTAAGATAGATTCAAAGTGAGTTCAAGGCACCATCTCTTCCCAAAGAAATTTCCATAATCATTGGGCAACAAATGATATAATCCTATTTTTCAGGATACCAATACCCGACCACCTCTAGCCGATGCGAAAGAGACCATTTCCTTCTCTTTTTTTTAATCAGAAACCGAGTTTCGAGAAAAAACTGAAATAATAGACAATTCGCAGGCAAAAAACAAGCCCAGCAAGAAGGGAGACTCCCTACAAGAAGGGATCCCAATCCAAAAGGACAATAACCCACTGATAATTACAAAAAAAACCTTAAAAAACGACACTCACAAAGAGGTATTAAATCTAACAAGGTCCCAAAGATCCTCCAAAGACCCCTCCACCCCCTAAAAGTTCTATTATTCCTCTCGACCCAAATACCCCACAAAATAGCCTAAGCGTGCCCATTAAAAAGGGGACTGCCGTCCAAGCTTGCCCATTCCCCAAAAAAATCCACAAGATCTTCTCAATCTTCTTACTGACACTGTTGGGGACTTTAAAGCAGGATGTCTTGATCACTAGACACCGTTCCATTTTGATAAATTTAACAACTTCATTTTAAGTAGAGAGTTGTCGAAACATATTATCCTCCACTCCATTAGTCTAATTTCAGATGAATTCTGACGTGCATTCCTTGCATGCCTGTAGTAATGCCAAACACAGATGGTTTTGCAAAGAACAACAAGCTGCATTTTCTATCACAGTCAATCTGCTCTTTTCCTTCGTACGGATTCACAAACATCAGTTCAGTTACCCACAAAGCGACTTCGAATCAAACCACATAGAACACGAAAGGCATATCATAGTTTCAAAATCTGCTCAAGAAAGCATTCCAGTACAGATAAATAAGTTCCAGTCTCCACTGCAGCGAAATGCACCATATGTCCAAAATTACTTCTCACACATTCAAATACCAAACAGAAGTGCCATTGATCGTCACTGCAATTGCAAAAGATATCGAAACATTCCCAACTAATACCCAAAAGTAAACAAAAGATCAAACGTCCAAACCCCCCACAAATGAAACGACACAGAGGAAGAGGAATAAAAGAAGAAATCCGACCTTTTCTTCTAAAACGTGAGGTGGGTCAAAATGTTCTGTCATTCCCACTTTGCCTACGTCTTCTATGTACGAAAGCTTCTCTGCGTAGCCCAGAGACATGGCGACTCTGCTGGCTTCTGACCCACTTTCTGTTTCGCCCCAATATGATCAACAGAAGTTGTAGACACGAAAATCAGGACCCCTGTTCTCTATTCGCTCCGAAGTAATTGAAGCATAGGCTTCTTTTCGGGAGACCCAAAATAAACACGAGTCTGTCGAAATATAAATGGGGGAATTATCATTTCAAAACCACGTTTAAGTTTGTGCCGATTAAGATGATAGTTCCAAAACTAATTTAAACAAAATTTGAGAACATCACATCAAAAATCAAACTAGTGTTATGGGTAAAATCAAACATAAGCATATGATCCTTCCGCGTGTTCAAATCTTAGACTCCCAAAGAGAAGGAAGAAACGCACGTGACAAAGTAAGCTGAGATCGACTGATCTAGAGAATATGTTAATCGACAATAAATTCACTAACATTGGACTAAATGCTAATTTTGTTATGAGATTTCGAATGACAAATACGATGTTGGGACCTTGATTTCCAAAGTTCGGGTCACACTTTCAAATAGTACGCAATCTAGAGCACCACAACGGTGTGAATGTCTCTTTGTACGTACTAGCGGAAATTGAGATTATAACCCATATAAGACGTTGTCTCGTAAGACATTGTCTCGTGTCATCTCAGCTAGAAACACACACGCCAACACCTATAAGAGGTATATTAACCATTAGACTCATGTTGAACCATTAATAAAAAAATTTCAAGTTTGTGATTAGTTAAAATTTAATAAATTTATTTGAATTAGTTAACGGTAAATTATACCCTAGATACCCTAAAGATCTATGAGGTTTTGAAGATTTTTTCAGGGGAGCTTGTGCATGTAAGGCAAAAGATGTTTGATTAATTGCACGTATAACATCAACATCGTGGATTTGTAAATATAGCAACGGTCCAAACTCATTCAGGTAAAATACAAAAATAATAAAACTCTTATTAGATGGCATTAATTCGCGAATTCAAATATGGTCAGCTTGGGTGCTGTCTTAAGTGGGTAAATTGCAGCTTATTCGGTCAATCATTCCGATCTTTCATGTTTATTGGACCAGTGTTTTTGTGTTACCTACTCGGGTGGTTCATGAGGTCAATAATATATTGCAGTCTTTTTTGTGGAAGGGTGGTGTTGATGCTTATAGGGGCGAAGGTTGTTTGCTGTTGAGTGAGGGTGGGGTTGGACTTTCACCACTTGCTTTATTGGAATTGTGCGTCTATCATGAAGCTTCTTTGGCTTCTAATTACGCGTGATGGCTCTATTTGGGTTGATTGGATAGAGACTTATATTTTACGATGGTGTTGTTTGTGGGTCGCTACCACTTATTCGAAGTTTTCTGGGTGTTGGATGGATAATTTGCGGATTCAGGATCGGTTTCAACCTTTCGTAGTGTTTCTCTAGGGAATGGTTCGATATTGTTTTGTTTGGTATGATGCTTGGTTACTTGGAGGATCCATTTTTCCTCGTTATGCTGATCAGGTGATTTATGATGCTGATAGTGATAGGATGTTAATCCCGCAGCGGAACGCGGTTCGAGTTCATGAATTTTGAAGAACAAAATCAAATGAAAAAAATAAAGAAAATACATGGAAAAAAATGTTTTCTTTACCTTTGAAGAACTCTTTTTCAACGATTCAATTGAACACCACCAAAGATCTTCTCGGCTATGCTCTTGGAACGAGTTCTTGGTTGTAGAAGCAAAGATTGGAAGCAAAGATTGGAAGCCAAGAGAGAAATTAAGAGAGATTTTGCTTTAGAGAGCTTTCTTGTTTTTACAGATAAACTGTGCATAACTGTAGAGTTTAAACACAAGTGACGTGGGGTCACAACAACTTCCCATTGTAGGGGAGTTTTTTTTTCTTTTTTCTTTTTTAATTAAACTTAATAATTAACATAATGAATGAATGAATTAATATAATTATTAATCTAATTAATAATTAACTAATTATCTTTGAGAACGATAATCTTAAAATGTTCGTAAAATACAAAAATAACTGTAAGATATGTGATACTTTATTCATTCCACGATGTCTCACCCTTACAAGTTGTCACAAAAATGTTCGAAGGTGCGTTTAGTTGGTGATCTTAATTAAAAATTTGAAAATAAGATACTCGATGAAAACAAAGTTGTATTTCATGTTTTTTTAATTTCTTTTAATTTTATATATGTGTTTGGTAGCCAGTTTAGAAATTGAATATCAATATAAAAAATTTGTCTATAAATTTAGTAATATATTTATTATATATTTATAAATCATGGGTAGTTACAAGTAAAATATTTAGTTTAATATAAATTAATATTCATTTATTTATTAACATATATGTTATAAATTTGGTAGAATTATCATTTTACAATATTATATAATTTATAATATGTTATATTTGACATGTTTTAACTTTAACAAAATATAAATAAGTTTATAATATAAAATAGTATATTTATCAAAGTATTTATTGTATTTATTATATTTAATGTAATTATGCATTTCAAAGTTTCAAATTTAAAATTTAAAAAGATAAAAATATTGTTTTTAGAAATTTTGCTATTTGGATCATAGAATTTGAAAACAGTTTGCAAAAAGAAATTTACCAAATGCATACCAACATGTGGGATGGAGATTCGAACTCATGACTTTTTGGTCGGATATAAGTACTTTAACCAGTTGAATAAAGCTCGACAAATAAATAATTAGATCATTGCCTCGGTATCAAAGTAAATTAATACTTCATCGTAACGTTTAAATACTTCATCCAAAATGAGTTTTTCCTCAAAACTGATTTAAATGAGACATAGTAGAAGTTTTGAATTTATTCAACTTGAATTATTTGGAAGTTAAAGTCTTAATAACGTACTATTATTAATTGAATAACTAATTCAAGAGAAAAATAATTAAGTTGCATGCAATGGAGTTTGAACATCATTCGCATTTTGCATGTTGCAGGGAGTTCTAATTGCATGATATTTATTTAGATATTTTGTTAATTCGAGGGTTTTTTTGTTTGCACAACTCTCATATCATGACAACACCAATTCAGATTATGCTCATCTCAATCTTTGCCTTTATTACTTTTTTCTCTATTGCTAAGTCAAAAACTTTCGATAGTTTTTAGTTCGTTCAACAATATCGTCCAACAGTTTGTCAATTCTATACAAGATGTGCCAAACGAGTGCCACAATCATTTACAATTCATGGCGTGTGGCCTCAATACAAAGGGACCTTTATATATGGTTGTTCTGGAGCTCGATTCGATTCGAAAAAGGTCAATGAATGACTAAATATGTGTGTGTGTCTTTTTTTTTTTGCTTCTATTTTTTTCAATTAAGTCCCTCACATTGATTAATTTACATGTGTTTCATATTAAACCTTTTAGAAGTGATCTAAATAGAGTTGGGCAGGGAAATAATATAAAATTTTGGACTAAATAGTGGGACAAGCACGGGGTTTGCTCAGAGATTTATTTGAATCAAGAAGAGTACTTTAAAATGTCCATTATTATGATTGATGGTCTCGACCTTCTTGTTACCCTCACACATGCTGGGATAGGCCAAACGGTGGCACGAAGTCAGTGGCAAGCATGCAACAAGCAATCCTAAATCAATATGGGACCATATCAGTTCTTCGACGCAGAACACATCATTCACAAACCTTATTAGTGGAGATTGTGTGTGTTTCGATGTTGGTGTCACTCATATTAATTGTAATCCTTCCTGAACCACTTGTGGTCAATATTTTTTCTCTAAGTAGGGTGAGCCAGCCTCTTTGCTGCAACTGCTCGCCATGTTGTGATGAAGAACAACGATGCGGATTCGTCATTTTTGCAGCGTTTTCCGAGAAAATTTACAGAGGGCTACTTGAAAGCGAAGGCATATGGGAACTTGAATAACTTCGTTTTTCTGAAGCAGTTGTCATTTTCTATCAGGAACATGGCCATGTCTATGGAGGCCTACTCCACGTAGTTCCAGCCGGCCCAAATCCACTGCATCATCATTGAACAACTCCAACACTCTCCTTTTTTATCTTTAATTCCTGATATTTTCTTTTTTATTCATTCCTTAGGATTTGCTCTCTCTTTCTTTGAACTCCATGCTTTGATGCTCAAGAAAGCATCATATTGGGTGTATTGTGTCATGAAATGATTGATAACCATTTCATTTTTACCATTCCCTTTCATGTGAGAGTATACTTATACTTTTCTCACTTTCTTGTGCTTGAGGTCCTTCTCAATGTTGGTATGGAGTGAAAGCAAAATATTCTTGTGTAGGTCTGGTTCATTAATCTTTTCTGCCAGATCAAATAGAGTTTGTTGCTCGCTAGTGAGCACGTTGACTGTATTGAAACAACATGCAGCAACGCATGGTTTTACTCCATCGTCTTCAGACTCAAAAAAGGAAATCTCATATTCTGAGGAAGAAGATTGCACGACTTTATTAATATAATATGAATGCTCGTTTGAGCTACCAATACTTGATTCTGACTCTTCGTTAGATTAATTGTCAACTTCTTTGAGCTTGCCAGCTTCAATCTTATTGACTTTATGCTTCGTGGCCTTCTTTGTTGATGGACATTTGTTAGCAAAGTGCCCTTGCTTCTTGCATTTGAAGTATTTGACTTGATCCCAATCTACATCAGTTCGTCTCTTGGACGTTCCTTGATTAGATTTTCTCTTGTTGGAAGTATGTCGTTTGAGGAACTTCCCTTTATACTTGTTGCCATGGTATCTCTGATATCGATGATCAGTCATCCACTTGTTTTTCTTCCGAGGTTTAGCTGGCTCAGAAACTTCACGTCCGTATTGCTTGCAGAATGCCTTCAATTATTTTCTGTAAGAAGGATTGTTTGCAATCTTTCTTTGAGTTTTTAACTCTTTGCACATGTTGAGACAGATGACTTGGACAATATTACTGATATCTCCATAGGTACGAGAATCCTAGTCAATACGGTCGTTGACACTCATTCTTTCTTGGAATTTGTCATGGACGAATTTAGGAAGTATTTGGACAAAAGTTAGTTTGTAGAAGGGCAATCTACAATCCGTCCTTTGATAGACTCAAGCTAGAAAGGCATCTCTATACCATTTATAGTCGGTCATGGTTGTGCAAGTGAGATGTTCAAGTGCCTCATCATTCTTAAGTTTCTGGTTCTCAA